GAAAAATCCTAGGCAAAATGTAAGCGACAAATCACGATGAGATGTCCTGACTTTTGAAACGAAACGTCGCAGATTCCGGATGACTCGAGGAATTCGAACGCGATTAATCGAGGGATAGAAATGGCGGGAGGAGGCGGCGGCAGGATTTTGGCGCCACATACCCGATCGCGCAACCAACGACACCATCCAGTGTCCCATGGGCTTGGGCAAAGAACGGCCATAAATTTTGGCGAGTCGTTCGTTCTCGCGGTTTGTCGCACGCGTCTAGATTCGCGGCCGTGATTTATTACGAGGATCGCGTGCGGTCCCCCATGCACGGATTCTAAACGCTAAACGTGTGCCACCCCTTCGTTCAAACTTTGACTCGATCGTATCCACGATCTTTTAATCCGATCAAACGAATTTCATCGTGTTTCTCGTTCGATGCTATATTTTTCACTTCTTTCTTTCATTCCTCCTTTTCTTTTCGAGATACTTTTCATTGGATTTTTTCGTCGAAGAAATTTCTCTGTAAAGCGAGTCTCTCATTCTCGGTTAAAGTAGTGAGTCTGAAGTTTTATATATCGTGGAATTGGACTGGATGGAGCGAATATCGAATAACAACAAGTTCAAACAGACTCTTCTTTTCGACGAAAATCGAAAAGAGAGAGAGAGTAGAGAAGATGGTCGGGACAAAGGCGAGGAAATATTTGAAGGAGGGAAGAAAGGGGGTTGGAAAAAGAATCGACCAACGACCGTTGAATGGCCGCGGTCGAAATTTTTCGTGATGAGTAAAGTTCAAAGGCTTCGGTTAAATCGTACTTAAAAGTTAAAACCCGAAAGCGTAAGCAAAGGATTTGAACGGAGGGCGGTGTGGGGGTGTGGAATGGAGGGAGAAGCATAACAGGAGGCTCGAAATGATCAAAGAGCGTTAAAAGAGGATCGGGTTGTCTCGCCGCTACCCGTTTTACGCTTAAGTATATACACGCTCCGTCCTTTCATCGAGACAAATATCTTTCAAAATCGATGTCTTTCGAAAAAAAAATTTTTTCTCTTCCTTATTTATTACAATTCCCATACAATTTTCCATATTTCCTTTCCATTATTATTTTTCCGCGAGACGAGCAGAAAATTAATCTTTTAAATCTTTCTTTTATACAAATATTCGTAAATAATTGCTACGATATCTTTAGAAAGAAACCAAAAAGAAAAAGAAAAAGAAAAAAAACTCCAAACTCACCTGCAGCTCCTTTCTCATCTTCGCTTCACCGTCCCGTACCGGGTTCCCGATCCGACACAATCCCCACCACTCGGAAAAAGAAAGTTTCCCAAAGCAAACCTACTTTCCTCTTCCCGATCACCCTTCGATCATCTTCTCACGTTCTCCACCACCCTTTTCTACGATTCACAGATCAACATCACAGATCCGTTTTGCTCTCGTCAACAACACGAAGAAACGTCACCATCGACGATCGATCTTCTTCCAAGCATTCGAGATGAATCAATGAATATATATATATATATAATTCCAGTCCGATATAACGATATAATACGCGATATATAATTTAACGCGGAGCAAGGGAGCGAGTTTTTCGAATGAAAGGTGGAGAGAAACGGAGCGAAGGCGGGGGTGGAAGCGGAGACCACGTGGTGGGTCGAGGTCTCGAGCCGGTGTGCTCGATACACGTAC